CCGTGTGACAGATATGCTTCATGCCCATCCCTTCTGAAGCCCCTCTGCTTTATCCATTTCCTGCATTCCCCCCCCCCAACCTCCCACCAACAAGCACATCGCTCTCTCCACTTAAACACGAAATTTCAGCTACCTTGCTTTCTGCACCTCTGTGGGCATATAAGAGAACAGCCTACCTATCAAGCAGAGAGGATGAAGCACACAAACACACACACACACACACACCAGAGCTGCCTCCTAAAGCTTCTCAGAGATAGCAAAGCACTCTAGGAATGCAACACAAGGTCTCCTGACAAGCAGCAGACATGGATGGAGGAGGCAGGAGGAGAGAAAATGCCAGCTTCCTGTATAGCAAGCTTGGCTTCTTAGGCTTTTTTTCCCCCTCAAAGGCTGCACTGACAACATGATGCTCCCCCACCCTCTGGCCCTCCCATTCAAAACAGCATGCTTTCCCCATTCAAGGTTTTCCAACCTCTCACCTCTCTGAGATTTTCCCCCATGTAACCCTTACTCAGCCATTACAGAGAAAAAAAGGCAGGTCTGCAGAACGCAGCTGGCTGCACACGGCTGAGAGCGCTCGGGTAGGAAAGAAGCTTCTACTCACACGCACAGGGAGCTGATGTCATTTCAGCAACTGGGGTGGAAAGTATGTTCCTCCCAGGAATAGGTTTAAAAAGGGAGAGAAGGAAAGAGGGACTCTAGAGGAGGGTGAAGCCCTACACGCCAGAGGCTGCTTGCTGCATCTATTTTTGAGACTCTGAGGAGTCCTGACTTTACTTCACCATCAGAAAAACCTGTGGAATAAAGCTTGTCACTCCACAAAAGGGAGCAATTTTTCACTTCAGTCATTGAGACACCGACCGGGAGCCAACAGGAAGTGCAGCGGCTACAACGGCAGTGTGCATTTCCAGATGTGGTTTCTATAGTTGAAAAGCGATGCAGAAATTGTACATGCAAAGCACTTAAACGAGGGGATGACAGGAGATCTAGTCTAAGACCACCAAGGCACACTTCGATTCATCCTCAAGGATGAGGGCACGATGCATTACCTTCCCATAATAAGCACTAAGCAAACTCATATCTCCGCGGTTAAAACAGCTTTCTTTTGCACCAACAGCTGTGGAATCCAGCTCCATCTTCCATCTTTGCCTTCTCCAGGGCAACCAAACATTAAAAAGGAGAGGACCTTTTCACCATCAGCTCCATCTTAAACCAAGACCAAATGTAATTTCTCCCCACTGGTTTCGGAGGCATCACAACAGACACATGAAATTACTCGAATAGCAAGAGAGAACAGCATGACACGGGAGGGGGGGGGACAAGTCGTGAAGCATGAGTGACTGAATGCATCACAACCAATCTAGAGAAAAAGGGGGCTGGAGAGAAGAGAGGGGTCCCTACCTGCTTCTCCATCTGCAAGGGGGCTTCTCCACCAGACCCATAGTTCTGGAGCTGGGTAGGGGTGGGGGAAAGAGTGAGGGCCATGACAGAGGGCTTCAGGGACAAGCAAGGATGACAACCCCATGCCACCCAAGACACAAATCTCACCGTTGTCGTTGTCATCGGGAATTTCCACAATCACACCTCACACGTAAGCTCCTGAATTAGACAGGCGATTAGACTCGGAGACATGCAAGGATCGTAAAGCCACTGGACCTGAGCAGAGCTGAGCATTAAGTTCTCGTACCAAGCCCTACACTGGGTTCTATATTTTCTTGCAACATTTTTCTATTGCCGCCCCCCCCAAAAAAAATCTTCAGTCTCCAACTCATGCTTTCTCCCTGCCTTCAGTTCTACACACACTCAAACCCTCTCACTTCTCTTCATATCCTACCTCTTGAAAACCTCCAGGCTCGTTGCTGGCCCCCTTCACATTCCCATAAGACGCCACCCCACACGCCCAAACACATTTATATCCCCAAAGTCACCAAGCCACCCTCTCAAGATGGACCCCTTGCCCAACACTTGCAGTCATTGAGATGACCTCTGAAGGCATATCCTCCACAATCTAGCCACTGCCATAAACCTGTTCCATATCAACCCCAAACCACATCTAGATTTCATTCTAATTCTCTAGCCCAGATCCATCACACACCGTGACACAAAAGCCGCCACCTATTCTCTCCAATTAGGACTCCTTTAAATATCGCATCTCCTTCCCCAAACCAATCACAGTTAACCCCAAATCTGCTTCTCTACCATTCTCTCATACCCCAAAGTCTTCTTTTAAGTCTAGGTCCAGGCATTCACCAGGCCCTCCAACGCCTGTATCCGTAATTCACAGACATCTCAATCTATAATTTGCTCCTGTCATATCCCAACCCCACCACCACCAAATGTTCGACCCATATCACTCTGAAAACCAAAACCCCCAGATTATCGTATAGCCCACAAGGTCGCTCCCATGACTTCCTTTCCACTTCAAAGCCCCATTACCTCAAGGCATTCACCAGGCCCTCCAACGCCTGTATCCGTAATTCACAGACATCTCAATCTATAATTTGCTCCTGTCATATCCCAACCCCACCACCACCAAATGTTCGACCCATATCACTCTGAAAACCAAAACCCCCAGATTATCGTATAGCCCACAAGGTCGCTCCCATGACTTCCTTTCCACTTCAAAGCCCCATTACCTCAAACCCCACCCCGTGGAGGCGCCTCCAAAGGTTGTTCCTTCCTTGACCCCCCCCCCAAAGCCCTTCCACACCTAAGACTGAGAACGCTCAAAGCAATCCTCACCCCCCCATTCATCACAGCCCCCCCCACAGAGCATCCTCATGTGTCTCCTGACCCAGACCTCTCCCGCTCCTGTCACCCCCCCAG